AATGCCATTTTTTAAAGAAAAAAAATAATGAAACATCACAAAATTCTTGTAAATTTCTAGAATCCCAACGCCTGACAACGGATCCTCAGATGGATCAAGCGCGACGAGGACGTCACGAGTCTAACGGGGGGTGATTGTAATACCCAGACCAGGAAAGCTTAAATGATTTAATAAGTACTACTCATACCAATAAGGTGTATTTTCTTTTCCGGAAGTCCATCGTTAGAAACTCTACAGTTAAGCATGCTCGCCTTGGAGCAATTCTATGATGGGTGACCCCCCGTGAAATTTTCTTGGGGAGCGTGCGAGTGAGGATAAATCATGTTGAAAAGACCCATGTTGGTACAGTGGGGACAGTATTTCGTCGATATAACGGCAGGGACAGCCCGTTAAGTGGAACTCAGGTCGTTACAGTCCTACTTCAATAACATAGTAAGATCGTCAGTATATACGTTACGATTTTGAAAATCGTGGAATTCTTGTCAATAACAGAAGCAGATTTTTTCTCAAAAAGCTGTGAAGAATCACGAAATATAAACATCGAAAAAATATGTAAACTAGTACTCCTTTGTCTATTACTACTGACCGATACAAAAATATGGCATCTGCAAAGAGAAGAACATTTACAGCAATTAGAATTTTCAACCTTGAACTGTGATCTAAGTACATGCTTGGTACACAATAATGAATAGGACTGCACAACATAATATATAACATTTTATCTTATTTTCTTCTTGATCATTCTCCAATATTATTTAATCCTCCATATGAAACGTGCCATAATTGTATGATCATGTTGAAGACGGGATGAAATGAAGAAATTGAATATGAGATGGAGTTGTCGTCCAGTCTAGAAGTCCTTCCATCTCATTGTGACTGTGATAATATAAGAAAATAGTCAAGACGAATATTCTCAAGAAAACTTCTTGCTAGTTCCATATTTGTTAGCTAGATTCTAAGTTATTTACGCTTTATTGGTGATTGTTTATTAGTGCAATCATTCTAATCTCTACAGTTGGTACCCGACCATTTATGTCTCGCGCCATAAAGCATCTCTCGCGTTCACGTATTCTCCCTTTTTCACCGGTCCTCCGGTCAAAAGGCGCCAGAATTTGCCTGAATAGGTGTGAGTGGATCTGACATCTGTTGTCCACATTTGCGTTACATTTTTCAGGATAAACAAAATCAAAACAATTTATGATATTGATAAGCCATGCCTTGATGATATCTCTTATATATTGATAAATAACAATCTGTATCTGCATACATGCCAGTACATAATACAAACTGTACTGATCTTTCTCTTGATGGGCTTCAAAACTAAATTCATTTCCCCATCAAACTTGATTACTAAGTGTCCATTACTGTTCGTCAAGCATAAGATTTAAATAAATACACGTGCCCCTCTCTACGCCTTAAGCTAATCGAAGCCTTCGTGAAAAGGCAAATAGCTTACCCATTCTGCCCATTTCAAATGACACACGTTCTCCATCATTAGAGACCCTGACTCTCATCAGAAAATGCACTCGTGAGAAGCATCTTTAACTTGATAGTGGCACAGAGTTTCTGAAAGAAAAAGAAGGCAGTAAAATTCCTCGTGGCAATGTGGTTATTCAATATCCTGAACTTACAGAAGTAGAACAGAACCGACACTTTTCAAACAAAGATGCAACTTCTGATGGCCATAAGAGCTCTATTGGCTCTTATCTCAAGAGTGATACAGGTGAGTCGATGAGCGTATCAATTTTTTTCTTGTCTGCAATATGTTTTCTTTACTGCTTTTATGTGTTCAAGGCAAACTCCCTGCTGATGTTTGGATTAGAGAAGGCAAGTTCACAACTGAAACTCAGTATGTTGAATCCGAAAATCTAACTGACGGAAATATATTCGAGTACATAAGAAAAAAAGCAAGGAACTTTTTGGAATTTGATAATTCGAAGCCCATTGATTCTAATCTAGTTACCTTGGATTGTGAATCTTGGCACGAGAATGGGTCTGAAAGTGGTAGTTCTTATCTTTATGGGTGGGATTATGCAAATCCAAATCGGTTCGTACAAGACGTTGTGATCATAGATGGAGAAACCAATGATACAAGTAGAAACACAATTTTTAAAGAAAGAGACGCGAATTCAAAAGATTATTTTACCGATTTGGAGCTAAAAACTACTCAAGTGCCATCTCATAGTACGATATTGGGAAGCTTTGTAGAAAGTAGTGTGAAGAAGCTATCTTCTCCAAGTTTGTTGAAAGGACATAGTTGTTCACTGGCAACAGAAGGTGAAATCAAGAAAGAGAATTCATTCGTCGGGTTTCAGAGTATTTTTTCGTTTCTTTGATTTCTTTATATTGGCTGAGTGATGTATTTGAGATGGTGTTGACATGTAGCCTAAATCGAGTAGCCCAAGGGTTGAAACCCAGTTAGGAAGTCCAGGATAAATGCCCAAATAGAACCATTAATGAATGCAGTGGAGGCCTACGAACAAGGTACCATCATCGCCCAAGCTTGCAAGACGCCCAAGATCTGAGAGAGTGGAGTGCCTTAAAATCGCCAAGAGCGAATGAGCCTATTCTCGCCTAAACCTTCGAATCGCCCAGGATCTTAGCAAACATGAGGTAATATGGTTATCCAGAGCAGCAGTTATTGAAGCGGTTATTGAGCAACCTTACCACACCCCACGATCCAAGAATCACAGTTGTAAACGGTTGAACGACGAGAGTAATGACAACAGTTAGAAAAGGTAGTTCCATGACAAGTCAGCCATCATGAAGAAACAAGTCAGCCATCATGAACAAAGTGAGTAATTATAGAGCAATCGGGCAGTTTCCAAGCGGTTTGTCATGAAGGAATTATCAAGAAAGTATAAAAGGAAGAGAAGACATAGAGAAAAGGACCCCGAATCAAACACTTTCAAACAAAGAATATGTGTAATTTTAATTTCTTAGTTTGATTTTAAACACTTCTTTTAGTACTCGTGTGCTTGCGCCTCTTGAAGGCATTCCGTTTATTTCCAATTGTAAATCTTCACCAATAAAACACTCATTTTTGGGACTTTGTCTCAAGAGGTCTGTTCCTTACACAATCGTCTGAATCTTTTTTAATTGTTAGCGATAACCCGCGCAAAACAATTTGGCACGCCCAGTGGGACATTGGTGTTTGGTGTTTGAGGATACNATTTTAAACACTTCTTTTAGTACTCGTGTACTTGCGCCCCTTGGAGGCATTTTGTTCATTTTCAATAGTAAATCTTCACCAATAAAACACCCATTTTTGGGACTTTGTCTCAAGAGGTCTGTTCCTTACACAATTGTCTGAATCTTTTTTAATTGTTAGCGATAACCCGCGCAAAACAATTTGGCACGCCCAGTGGGACATTGGTGTTTGGTGTTTGAGGATACAAAAAGTGAAACACTATGCCTCATAAGTCTGATAAGGAACCAGCAAGTCAGGGAGTAGTCCAGTATGTGATCGAGCGATATGAGGAGCAGCAAAGCTCTCCACGAACAGAGGGACAGAGTCAGAGCAATCACAGTCATTACGAACCAATGACAGAGTTGAGTCCTCGAACCATGCGTGCATTGCTTGGAGAACTCACACAAGATGTCGTTGAATAGGTAAATCTACGAAATGTTCATAATATGGAAAGATTTACCCAAAATGGGAATGCACATTATGACAACATGGCCAAACAACTGAATACATTAAATGAAATAATGAATAAGTTAGTAGGCCAAATGTGTCAGCCAGTTGTGCCT